AAAACAAAAAAAAAAAAAAAAAAAAACTAACTACTTAGGAACTTGACCAAAAATCTAAACAATTTATTGCAATGGTGAGACAACATGATCTATACTATCATAATCATATAAATGCATCACTAAGCCCCTACTAAAATATTTATGAAGCCAATCAATGATGAACGTCTTAGCTATAGCCGTTAGGTCTACCAAACAAAGCTAATTTTAACAAACTGGATCCACAAACACCAATTTCAACCGTAGATCAAGCTAATTCAATGAAATTACAGATAATTCAAGCAAAAAAAAAAACGAACGGAACGGAATAGAGACTTACAAGGAAAATAGAGCTTATTGGAAGGATCAAGTTTCAAACGACGTCGCGCAGGAAGCAGAGACCTCGCTACTGAAGAAACGGAGCTGGAACTGTTGGTACGAGGAATCGATCCATCATCCAGAGAAGTACTTCCGAGAGATTGATTCTGTTGAGTGCGGTAATGATGAGTAGTAGTATTATGCGAAGATGAACGCGAAGTGGTCGTCGTTGACGTTGACTGTGCGTTTCGAAAAGGGAGCTTGAACAATCCCCAAACTTTACCGTCCTTCTCGTCGGCGATCGCCATCAGACGCCAGAAACTGAGCAACTTCGCCGGAGAATCTGAGGTTCAGTACGACGTCGGCGTGTTTCGCTCCTTTTTTAAGAGCGTGTTGAAATTACCTTTTCAGAAGACTAGGGAGTTGAAAATTTGGAAATGCAACGGGATAGTTGGAAATTTGGGGGGTTTTATATGTAGTTCTGTATTTATTAAGTGCTGGATTTTGTTCTGTTATTTATGCTCCACTTGAAACTGAATAGTTTCCCTCTTCGTTTACTTTTGTTTCATTCCTATTTTGGTCGTTAGTAAATAATCTCAAATTTATTATTATTATTATTATTATTAATGGAGCTTCAAATTTAAATGGATAAATTTCATGTATTCAAATTCTTCTATTATAAACATTCAAAATTATTCCTTAACTTTTGATTATAAATTTAAAATTACCCTAAGCTTCTTTACGAGTCAATGACAAAAGTAAGACTTTTTTTTAACGATGAAAGTAATATCATAACAAAAGTTAAATTGAGGGAAAATTTGCTTAATTAAAGTATAAAATTTAATTTGCTTACAGTTGATTAATTGAGTTAATTTACAAATTAAAATATTATCTTTTAGAAAGTATTTAGTTGTATATAAGTTTTTCTTAATTTTATAAAAAGTAAAGGAAAAAAGTTACATTGAAGAAGTAACATATAGCAAGTATTATTGATAAGTATTTATTTGAGGAGTTTCACTAAGGAAAGTGAATATACGAACTAATTAGGAAAAGAGTGACATGTCATTGGGAATAAATGAACTAATTAGAATTCTTCACTGTTGATTGAACATAAAATTGCTAAAATAAAATAGTGGACGGTGGAAGTGGGTACAGAAAACGGTAACGGATGATAATCTTAATAGAGAATAGTATATAACATGAATTAAAAAATGATCTTTGGCAATAAAAAGTAAAATATCCAATTTATCATTTGTTAGAGATCAAACAAACTTTTAGCTTTTATTGCTTATACTCCAATTAAATTTCGACATATTTTCACAATCTGTATTCCTTTTCTTTTCCTCTCCCTTTAAATAATGTTCCCTCTTATCTTCTAATTACGCTAATTTAAATCATGGGGTATGTTGTTGAACCACATTTTGTTCTTTAGGACTTGATTGACGGGAGCATAAAGATACGACGTCGTCCATTGGGGGTCTTTGCTACCTGAGACCGGCGAGCATATTAAAACATTAGCTTCTTTTGGTTTATATATTAGGAAAAATTATTTAATTTGGGTTTAACGCATGAAAATTTTGACTCTGAAGGACGAGAAACCTTTCTTTTGTTAAGTGGATGTCACTATTACTGATTGGTCAAAGAAGTTTGCTTAATTATAAGTGGATTGATTTATTAAAGTTGATGCCCTATAAAAAACATGTTTAATAGCTTTAAACACAAGAAAAATTGTGTAAATTACCATGTATCTTTACTTAGATATTTTATTTAATTAATACTCCACTAATTAAAATAGTAACAGCAGATCTAAAAAAGAAATAATTAATAACTTCTTATTTTTTTAAACCATAAAATATTTTGCAACAAATTCTGTAAGTTAAAGTTTTCTTGGTTTATGCGGGATATTACTATTAGCGATTCATCTTAGGCAGTGGATTAAGTAAGTGGATTTTGATCAGGCTTCCAACTTATTTATTTGTGATGTTCTCTCCCAAAATGTTTGACCTTTTCTCTGTCATATATTCAAATTAAGTTGGCTTATTACAATGTATACTTTGACCATATTGATATAGGAAATAATGCTTCGTATAATTTTAAACATTTAAATTTGGTTTTGGCGAAAAAACATGTTGGTTTGAATTCTGTAAATTGCTTAAATTAATCATCAATAAACGAAAGCGGACAAATTAGAATGGGTGTGATTCTTCAGTCCAAGAAGAAGAAGAATGTCACCTATTCAAAATTCAGCTGCCTAGACCTATACAAATGCCAGTTTGATCGTTGGTTATGTATAGGCCAAAATTATCTTAGTTATATTTGAGTCACGTCGACACTAAGAGATCCTTCGAAGGCTGTCACGTGTCATCAGTATAATTTCGACAAAAAGACGAATACAAGGTTGAAGTGACCTAACAAAGGACGAAGGCTAGGTCGAGGAGTCAACAGAGATCGAGGTCAAGGATGAGTACTCTCCTCAACGGAGCAATAACGGCTAGTTTTGAGCCATTGAATATTGTTTATTGTTATATATTCACTGTTGTTTCTATGGACTTTGTGACATTCTGCCACGGTACTGATTAAATAATTTTTGGATATTAATATTGGTTAAGATTAACCATATTTTATTAGAAAATCTAATTGTTTAAACCTAGATCTAAATTTTGGGTCATATATATATATATATATATATATATATATATATATATTTATAATGA